CTTTGACATCTCCTGCGAACTTAGTGAATTTTGGGAGTTTCCAACCTCTTGGTAACTCCATTTATAAAATGAAATTTGGAAATGGCGAGACATACATAGTCCTCAGACATCCAGTGTTCATTCCATTCCTAACCATAATTCGTTCGACAATGGCTTCTAGGTTCTGTTCCCCAGCCACTGCATCTCGTCAAACATGTCTGACCATTTGATTGATATCCTGGTTTCAATTTGCTATTACTACTGAGGGTTGCTGGAATACACTAAGTATAGGATCGACACGCTGGGGAATCAATGGTTCTTGTTCGATTGTTTCATTGACCACCTCCTCATACTGCACTGGTTCCTCACATGAGAGCGGTATAGTTTGTCGAACTGGCGCTCTTGGGGCGCCAAGGAAATCACTGATGCGAGTCATTTGCGTTGCCAAAGTTGATAACTCCGCACTAAATTTCCGATCAATTGTCCTAATATAACACTCATTTGTTGAGTAAGCATATTGACTATCTCATGATTACTTTCATCAATCTGCTGCCTCATAAAAAAATTGTTTGACACATAATTTAATATTAAAAAAACTGATAATTATTTTTTTTTTCAAAAATAAGAATATAAAAACTTTTATGAGAATGCACATTTCCATCTTCATACATGGAACTATATAGATTATGAAAGTTATTTCATTCATAAGAATATTTATTATAATATATAAAATAAACAATTACAATTATTTAATATAAATATAGCAAAACTTTATTTGATTTACTGATTTTTTTTCTTTAAAATAAGTCAAATTCATGTAATATATTTGGATTTAACAAGATATCTTCTAGTTGTGATCAGAAAAATTCTGAAAAAATAGAATTAAAAATTATTAAATCATTTTTCAGAATTTAAAAAAACAGTGTTTCATACATAGTTTAATATTTTAAAGAAAATTAGTAATTATATTTTTCATAAAATTATTTTTAAAAAAATTATGATAATGCATATTTCATCTTCTTACATGGAAATCAAAACTATATAAATTATGAAAGTTATCTCATTCATAAGAGTTTTTATTATAATTGATATAAAAATAACCATTTTTTAATCAATTACATTTATTTAATATAAATATAGTATACTTTTCTTTGAGTTATTAATCATTTTCTTAAAAAAAAGTTAAGTTCACGTAATATATTGGAGTTGTGATTTGAAAAATTCTAAAAATATAGAAGCTTACTTTCTACATTTTTCTGAAAAGAAAAAAAAAAGATTTGAAAATTCTGGGAATATATACATGTGAAAAGTATAAAAATATTGAAAAAACAAAAAAATCGCCCACCGTGGGGCTCGAACCCACGACCACAAGGTTAAGAGCCTTGCGCTCTACCAACTGAGCTAGACGGGCTAGTTGCGTTTATTTTATTCTTCAAATATTCTATAAATGTTTACATTGCATGATTATCTCTATTTTTTCTCCCTTCTTCCCATAAAAAAAATGTCATGATATTTTCAATCAAATAATAGATTGAAATACATGTTCTAATATGTAACTATCAATTTGTCAAATAGAAGCCTATGTATTGAATACATATTCTTTTTTTTAATGGACTATTCAAAGTATTGTAGACATTATTTGACTCTTTTTTTCATCTTTTAAATTTGTATATGTATTTTTTATTTATAAGGAACAATATTGGAGAGGTTTTATGAATACCTTAAAAAGGCATAGAGCTTAAGTTATTCCTAATGTTACAAACAAGGAACATAACAATTCTAATTGAAGGCAAGAATAGAATAAGGAGCATATACATATTTTTAATTAAAATAATGTTTGAAGACATAAAATGAAATGTATTTTTCAAACAAATCCCTATACAATACAGCAATGTATACAATGAAAAGTATGTGAGAAAAAATAGATATAAAACTATAGCGTAGTTCTGAATCATCATCATCCTCCTCCTCCTCCCATGGTGTGTCTAGGGGCTTTGTTTGGATGCAAGCATTCCAATTCCATTGTGGCCTATCTTCTATCAGCTTTGGTTTCAATAGCAATTCTTTGTGTTTTACGTTTGCTATGTTATGCTCTTCACCGGTTCCTAAAGAAGAGAGATTCTTCTATTGGTAATGGTGGACAACAAAATACAATGTAGTAGAAGATTCTTATGTGTATTCTTGTATTGGTAATGTAACAATTAGTTTAATAAGAGCTTCTCTAACTCTAACTTATGAATAATTTGCTTCATTTTTGTTATATATAAATGTTAGTTATGTTACATAATTAATTGTTCATGTTGGTCCACTTGAAAATGTTTCAAACCAAATCAGAATGTCAGCTTAGTTGAAAGCTGTAAAGAGAATGCGAAAATACTAACATCGCTTGTCTGATAAAGTAACGAAATTTATGGTTACAGCGCATAAATAATATTTCAATACTAGGGTAGAAATTACAAAAATATTAGTATTATGAACATACTTGTTCCAATGTTGGGACAAACAAGTTGAAATTCTTAGTATGAGTAACACGCCAAAGCTTCAAGACACCATCAAGGCTTCCAGTACAAACAATGCAACAATCTTCATTATCATCATCATCAACAAAACATCCTCCTAAGAAAGCTGTCACACACCTAATTGGTCCTCTATGACCAACCAAAACAGCTAAACAAACATGTTGTCCATCTTCTTCTCTACTCCAAACCCTGCTAGTCGAATCGGCCGAACCACTAACTACATATTTTCCAACACTAGCTAAACACAAAACAGCATGTGTGTGTCCTTGAATCGATCCGCTGTATTGCAATTGTCCTGCAAACCAACCCTTTAGCCAATAATGTATGTAACCGTCCGTGCATCCCCCGTATAAAACTCCTCCGTCGTTGGTTAGTGTTAAGGCTTTCACAGGTGAGTATTTTGCATGAAGTGTTACTGTCAGAGAATGAGGCTGATCATGGCTGCAAAAATTTCTACGCCAGACTCGAACTGTGGCGTCGTCCGAGGCAGTATAGAGAACTCCGTCGTCGGATACAATTATCGCGTTGATCGGTTCAGCGTGTGCTTTGATTGTCTCTATGCATTTCAGGTCTGAGATTCGCCATACTTTTACTGTTTTGTCGAGTGATGCAGTGTATACAATGTCCTCGGCCGAGTTTACTGCCATCGATGTTATTAGTCTCTTGTGCTTCATCTGCTAAATCATGAAAGAAACCAAAAAAAAAACAACCATGTTAAAAGTATTCAAACGTAAATCATGTTACAAAAAACTCAAAATTAAGGTACACTTACTGTCTTGTCTTTCCCTGCAATGTAGCTACGAACGTAGCCGAGTGTCTTAGGAATGGTAGCAGACCGAACATGTTTCAAGACATTAGTACTATTATCCCAAATTATTGTCCATACTCGAATCTTGCCATCGCCATAAGCTGCATAGACAGTATCATTGGAAACCTCGATCGCGACAACTTTTGAAGCTTTAGTCTTCAACTGTCCACATTCAGTGAACTCGGGTAGCTTCCATACCCTTACCACCTTGGAATCGGAACCTGTGTAGAGTAAACCACTTGATGATAAAGCGATGGACGTGATTTGTCCATCGTTTCTTAGGACAGAAGAAGCGCAGTGATAGGTTGTTTGTGGAGACTCGGAATCGGAGAGCTTAGTGGGGAAGTAGTGATGATGAGGAGACGAAATGGGAGAGTTTTGAAGGCTGCGAGAGAATGTCGGACATGAGAGTTTTGAGAAAGGTGTTTCTTTTGTAGAATGGCTTCTAGTCATGTTAGTGTTCTTGTTGTTGTGAACTGTGGTTGAAGATGTGAAAGCAAAATCAGTTGAGTTTGGAGACTCCATTGATTTTTTTCTTGATTTCTGTTTTCTTCTAAACAAAGAGTATTTCATCATGATGATGAGTTGTGGCTTATGAGTTATGAAGTTTGGTGTAATGGGGTTATGAAAATATAATGGTGGTAGATATCTGCTATAACTTGTTTTATTGCAATAGTTGAATTGTATAATGTGTATTAAAGATATAAGAAGCATTCTTGTTAGAGGAATTGAATTTTGCGCATTAAATGCGGCATGCAATTTTCGATCTCAACTTCCAACTTTAAATTAACAGTCAAGATATATCTATTAACCGATTTTATTAGTGTAATTTAAACCGTTTGATCTCAAATTAACGATCAAGATTGATTACTCGAGGAAAACCAAATCTATTGTTAGATGTAAGTGAATTGTAGTACTATTTCATAACCTTTCTTTCTTTTCTAAGTTTTTTTTTTTATTTTGCCTTTATAATCTTCTCACAACTATTTTTTTAAGGGTATGAGTGAAAAAATCTTTTTCTTCTGGAGAAAGGCCGAACACTCATCATACATTTGAAAGGTTATGTTTAGAGAGAAATATAAATCAAATGGATAAAAGGAATCATTTAAGGGAAATATGAATTTCTATTGAATCAAATGATAAGGACAGATTCTTTTTCTAAAACTATTACATCATGGTGAATGAAGTTAGTTTTAACAGTTTCCTGATTTATCTTAGGCATTAATTGTAAGTCTATTAATGGAACTCCTTAAAGTTTAATCATAGAAGTAGCTCACCAAATGGTTTGAAATAATTTCCGTATATGTTTAGTCTCTCTTTGGATTTGTGATGAGATATTATTTTTGGTGTCACCGAATATGCGTTTATCTCTTTCAATCCATTTAACAAAAAAAATATTTTATGTGACCTCAATCTACAATTTGTCCCGTTTAATCCGTCAAAAAAAAATCATCAGATATATGAGCTCACTGGTCTTTTTTATATATATATCTTCTCTATATATTATTGGTATCTTTTTTCAGATCAAAACTTGTAACATACTTATATAAAGGTTTATATACACTCATGTCCCATATTGGTCACCTAGTCAAGAACAAAATAAACAATTCCAAAATGAGCCTCAACCACTAAGATTTGGTGACAAAAGAAGATAGTAAAGTGTCACAAAAAAAAAAGTTGAGAGTCACAGTACATTATTTTAAGATCCCTGGATTTCTGTTCCAAGACAAGTAGGATGGATCTCCAAGAGGTCTACAAATAGAGCAATATAGAAATGTTAGCTCGTAAGTGCAAATTAGAAATAACCAAAACATTTTATCAGGTATCAGATAAGGCTCCGATAAAGTGCGCTACTCACTTTAGAACATTAAGTGAGTAGTATCAATAGCTGATACTATATGCATATGCATAACAAATCATGAGTAGGTATGATATCAATCACTCTGAAGCACTCGTGAACTTCGACAAATACAAAAGTGCATGTATATTCAAAAGTTAGTGTTAAAGAAAGTGTCGCTAACGTTTCATATATCATAATCGGGATATGTAGAACCATAAAGCTATATAAGATGAGCACAATATTTCCCTTACCTTGGCTTGATCACATACAGAAGAATGAACCCTATGGCACATAACAAGGAAATGCCACCAACAAAAAGGTATGCCATCCCTATGAATGGATTTTTCCCACCAATCCAAGTTGTGGTTGAGAGAACCAATCTCTTTTTACCTCCGAACTCATATGTGTTATAATTATTCTCGATTAATATGTCTATCTCATCATTCGCTTCAAGATCAGACTCTATCTTCCCATATAATTTTCTGAAAGTCGGTAGCGCTGCTGTTCTCATCCAAACAATGAGATCCTCTTGGTCACTCAACTGATACATGCCAAACACATAGATTACTTATTTCTCAAGAAACAAATAACAATATTTTATTCAAACTTGACTTTACCGGTATGCTTTCGTCGAGTTTAGCACCTCCAATCAAACCACCACCCTGAAAATTTTTAGGATAAACATCATGACCAAATTTAGAACCTTTGTCACTTTTCCATGCTATGTTTTTTTTGTTGACAGTTAATTCCTTGTTCTTCATTGAAAATTTGTAGGTGTCATTGAACAAACTCCATGCAATGAGACCACAAGGAACAATTGGCTCATTTTCTTTTGTTTTGTCTTCTGGATAACAGTTCTTTGTTTCCCATCCAGAATTCTTATCCCATAATTGCTTGTCACTTCTACTCTTAACATATCTGAAAGACTCAATCATCCAAAATCATATTAGGCGCAAAACAAATCGTTATTGCTATCAACAATTGACAACGGTGAAATCGCGCGTACCTGCGATGATTTTGAAAGTAATTATCAAGCTGATAGTAGATGAAAATCGGAGCTTGCATTTTGTGTTCAACCTGTAAAGTTTACAATTAAAATTCTCAATTAAGGTATCCCAGACCGGCCAAAATAGTCTCATTATTTCGGAATCAACACTCTTACACTTCAACCCAACGGTCTTTTCTAAAAGACAAAACCGTGAGGGTTCTCACACCCAGAACGGACAATACCTCGTAGCCACACTGACGCGAATTTGAGGTCAATTGAAACATAAGGTATTAAAGAAAACGAAACTATTGTGATATCGAGAAGTGAATTTACTAACAATCCATTTATGAGTGCATGTCTTGTTAGTGGCATCATTTTTTATATATGCAACTGGATTTCCAGCATCAGAAGAAGGAAGACACGTGTCATCGTATCTGAATACAGCTTCCTCAACCCTCTCTGATGAGAACAAGGAAGCAAGACCAACAGGGATAAAGATGATTCCAATGACAGTGAATGCGGCAATAACCTATGAAAATTACAAAGACAAAAACATGAGTTCATAGATACTAAGAAACATGAAATCATATATACTAGGTTGCTTGCATGTTAAGTTATATAATACCCATCCAGGTGTTAGAATCGGTTTCCATGCAGGAAGTTCTTGCTGTGAGAATTTGGAATCTACAATTAAAAATAAAATTATGAACAGCAATCATAGAGAAAAACATCATAGGAAGAAAACAAATTAAACATACATTTAGGTTTCTTGGAAGTTTTCTTTGAACTGATGGGAGATTGTCCATCTTTCCCAGCAGGACTCATGTCCATCATGGTTGCGGTTTCAATTTGTAATTGTTGGAAATGATGAAAGATGATTAAGTTAGATGATTAAAATGAAAGATGATTAAGTTAGATGATTAAAATGAAAGATGATTAAGTTAGATGATTAAGATGATAGATGAGATGAAGAGAATAATAACTGTAATATGGAGTGGTTAAGGATTGAAGAGTGTGTGTGTAAAGTTTGTTGGTTTTAAGAATGTTGGAGAACCGTACAATTTCATGGTTGGATATTGGACCATTTCATTTCACCACCGCATCTATCGCTCAACATTACTAATATTGAACTTTAATTTATTTTAATGACTTTTTAAAAGAATTTAATTGAAATACACTTTTATTGTCAAGAATCATAACTATTGATTTGTTAAAAGATTTTTTACTTTTATTTCAATTTCTATTAAAGTAATCATTTTGAATGGTTATGATATATTAATGGTATAAATTTTTTTATATCGATAATGCATGCTAATTAATCTCTTTTTAAAATTTGTGTTATTTTTTTTTTTTTTATCAATTCAAAATTTGATTAATTCCAAAAATCAAGAATACAAGGCGATCTCTAGGATTCAGCCCTTACAAAAATAAATACGACTAATTCAACATCAACTTCACTATATGTGTTTTAACCTCTTGCTAAACCAAACCCTATAAACAATTTTATCTATAATATTGTGAACTATGCTAATTCTATCTTCCTTCATGCCAAAACACATCTTGTTCCTGTAAATCCAAATCTCATAGACAGTTTCAGTAATAGCCAGTTTGAACAAAGAAGCGTGTCATCCTTTCTCTTTGCTCTTGGTCACTATTCTCTTAATTTCACCATTCCAAGTTGTTGGCTTATAAGTCACCTGCATCCAATTCAAAACAGATTTTTAAACAATTTGAGTCTCTTTACAATCAAACAATAAATAGTCAATCGACTCTTTCCCCTTACAAAAGCAACAATTGTCATCATTAAGCAAACTAAATTTTTTTAACCTATCTTTCATGGCTAGCCTCCTATGACAAGCTAACCAACGCGTTATCACAGCTCTCGGTCTAGCAATGTTGTTAAACATAAGATTCTTCCAGTCAACTGGTTGGTCATCCTTCCTCAAGCTAATATATACTCTTTTCATTTGGAATTTCATGTTCTGTGTCATTTGATCCCAAAGCCCTTGAATACTACTAACAACATTTCTTTGCTGCAAAATCTGAGACATAAGGCAAGTGCTATTGGCTTTGATCTTCACTTCTCAAATATCATAATGCTTGAGGTAGTAGGCATGCACCCATTTAAACCAAAGATTGTCTGACTTATTGCTGATATTCTAAAGCAATTTTAACAGAGTGTTAGCTCCTAAATCCGACACCCAGACACATTGACTTTATTGGCTAAAAATAGACTGAAGAAATTTAAGAGATTGAAGAAGTCTAAATTAAGAACCCTTCGATTTGGAAACATGGTCTAATTCGAAGATACTTCGAATTGAGAGCCTTTAAAAAGGCCCATCGAAGTCACCCTTATTAAGAAGGAAAAAACACTTAGAGAATTCTCTAAGTTAGAAAGGGTCTTCGACCCAGAGGCTTCGATCTTGTAAGAGCCTTCGACCTGGAAGCATTCATATCAGCAACAATTTGAATTTGAATTTGAATTTGAATATAAGAGGGAAAGGCAGTTCACTTGGCAGTTGAAGAAAGCAACGTGACATGAAGTTGAAGATCGAAGAACGTGCAAAGGACACTTGTCCTGATCCTGGATCGAAGTAACCGTCTAGAAGTTACTTTTTACTAGTATAAATATAGGAAATTTATGTAAATTTTTCGTGTGTTCAACCAATTGTACAAGTCACTCAATACTATTCGAGTACCCGCTGCGTGAGAAAGAATACTGAGAATGTACGTTTGAAACACCACATTTTATAATCAAAATCTTTTACATTCTTTTTTACATTCCTTGTCGTTCCTTCTTACAGCCTGTTATCTTACTTGTAAAGTTTATTTTCCCTTGTATTTTACTTCCACTTTTACCAGATTTCTACTCTTCTCAACCCCTTTCTACTTACTTTTACTTGCACTTTTATCAAGTTTTCGTCTGCCTCTAACCTCCACCTTTCTCAGTCAAACGTATTCTTTATTAAAATTAACATTTTTATCAAAACAACACAAATATTTAGCATATGTCCTAGGATCAATCAGATTGATCCTGCAAGTAACCAAAAATCACCTTTTTTAGAAGATCATCGATTATTTACCAATTTTCACAGTAAACAGAGTCACTTTGTTCCAAATGGAAAGGTAACAACTCTCAATCCACTACAATTTCTGAGGCTGCAGACTTTCTTCCAGGACACTGGACTTTTCCTACTGATAAGCTCATTACCTGTCCACAAGAAAGATCTGCAGATAGCCTCTATTTTTTATGACAAATTTTGGTATAGAAAATCACATCAACCAGTAGTTTATCATAGCGAAGGATATACTATTAATCAACTGTAACCACCCTGCATAACTTAATAAGACAGAACTCCAATGCTTTATTCTCCCAATAATTTTATACACCAAGATCATATAGTGGTTGATGGACAATATTTTGCAAGTCAGCGGAACTCTGAGATATCTAAACGGAAGGGAACCTTCTTTAAACTTTGTCAACTTCAAAATTTTATATTTAGTAGTCGCCTCCACACCACCAAAATAGATGTTTTACTTGTTAGGATTTACTTTCATACTCGTTGAGGCAGTGAACACAAGAAATGCTTCCATCATAAGCTCCATAGACTTAAAATCCCCTCTGGAGAAAAGCAAGATGTCATCTGCAAATGCCAGGTTGGTAATCTCCAAATTTTCACATTGAGCATGGTGGTTAAACTCTGGATTTTCCTGCATTTGATGTAAACACGTGAAGATATTCCATAACTAAGACAAAGAGGAAGGGGGAAATTGGATATCCTTGTCTAATCCCTCTCTTGGCTTCCAGCACTTTAGTAAACTCTCCATTCAGATTAAATCTGTAGAAAATTGAAGTTACAGTAATCATAATCCAATTCACAAATTTAGATGACATTCCAACTTCCTGCAAAATGCACTCTAAAGCATGCCAATCAACCATACCATATGCTTTTTGAAGATTAATTTTTGCCATACACCTGAGGTTCTCCCCTTCCTAGTGTAACCCTTTATTAACTCATAAGTCAAGATGATATGGTGATGAATGTTTCGTCCTAGAATGAAGGCAGCTTGATTGGTGCTATAATGTTACTCATCACAATACTCAGTCTAACAGTCAATATTCTGGAGATGATCTTGTAAAATGTAGAACATACAGAAATAGGCCTAAAATCCCTTATATGTTTTGCTACATCATGTTTGGGGATGAGGTAAACAATCGTACAGTTGGAGGCTTTCAATAATCTGCCATGCTCAAAGAATTCCTGCACAGCTTCTATCACATCAATAAAACAAACACATTTCATCACAATTGTTTACTTCAATTGGCAGTTGTGCAAGAATATTCAATTGTAGAGACGTAGGTCTGAAATGCAATATCTCACTTATTTATCTTTTAAAAAAAGTTGAAATCTTAACCATTAGACCAAATAATAATAATAATAATAATAATAATAATAATAAAAATAATAATAATAATAATAATAATAATAATAATAATAGGAATAATAATAATGATAATAATAGACATAATAATAATAATAATAATAATAATAATAATAATAATAGGAATAATAATAATTATAATAATAATAATAGAAATAATAATAATAGAAATAATAATAATAATAATAATAATAATAATAATAATAATAATAATAATATATAATAATAATAATAATAATAATAATAATAATAATAATAATAATAATAATAATAATAATAATAATAATAATAATAATAATAATAGGAATAATAATAATAAGAATTTTTTTTTTAAATAATCACATTTTTCAGTTTTTTTTCTCAAATAACCATATTTTCAAAAAATTTATCAAACTAACCACTTTTCAAACAAAAAAAAATCGCCACAAAGAGATTACATGCATGCGCCACACTGCATGACTTTACAGAAGAGGACAAGCCATGGAGTGTGGCGCCTCCTCTCTAAATATCATGCATGCGCCACACAGAGTGGCTCCTCCTCTGTGTGGCGAATTTCTTTTGTTTGAAAAGTGGTTAGTTTGATAAATATTTTGAAAATGTGATTATTTGAGAATTTTTTTTGAAAAATATGATTATTTAAAAAAAATCTAATAATAATAATAATAATAATAATAGGAATAATAATAATAGAAATAATAATAATAATAATAATAACAATAATAATAATAATAATAATAATAATAATAATAATAATAATAATAGGAACAATAATAATAATAGGAACAATAATAATAATAATAATAATAATAGGAACAATAATAACTAGAATGGTGATTCAATGACTAAAATGGTGATTCACTGGAGTACCTAAACCCTAAATAGTACCTAGAAAACTCTATAAGATGATAACTTCACTTTAACAACCAAAATTATTTTGATACATGAACCAATAATTGAAATGACTAAACTATTCCCCTCCCCAATAAGTAAATTACAAGCTATATTTGGGCGAAGTTGCATGAGCAATCCAGGATAAATTGTACTACATTGCTGCGCAGTCTGGCAGAGTAATATAATAATCAGATTATGTAAAACAAGTATAAATAATAAATTGATCATTTAATCAAGAAGCGGATGCAGCAACATCATCTACTACATCTTCTGATTCATCAACTATCATGTCATTTCTGAACAGCAATTTCAGATATGGAAGAACCTTGGGAAGCACCGGCAAATCGGCTATGTTGATACTCATCATGTCAAATGCAACACATGTTTTGTCCATGTGTTCTTTATCAAATACAGGAATTTTCGGATATCTTTGGCTGAAGTGAGTTAGTATGATTCGATATACATTAGCACTTTCTCCCATTTCTATGGCTTCATTAGTGGTGCTGTGGTTTTTCGCTATAGCCTCCTCTACCATACCCTCCTCAAAAGTTGCCTGCAACAATTAACAACTTATTTTTAAGTGTTTATTCAAGATGTTTACGCAAACACGCCAGTTGAAGAAAAAATATTAGCGGCGATTGGAAATGTATATTGTTTTGCTTAAACATTCACTGCATAAGAACTGTTGCAAAGATTCAAAAAGAAGACTTACCTCGTGTATAAGAACTGTTGCATTTCGAGATGCTTCTATTAGCTCTGGACAGGGCCTTGTGTCACCAGAGTAAACAATCTTCCAACCAGGTATCACTTTTCCAATACTATTAGTCCTCTCTTCTGCTTGTAGAACAACCCCGTATGATTGTGGGCAATGAACAACGGGAAAACTAATCAAGGAATTGAGACCGGCTTCTCGGATTACCCCCTTCAATTTCCTTAGGAGGGGATAAACAGCATCTTTGTCAACGGGACTACCTGGTACTTTCAAATAGCTTTGCATACGAGACCCTTTAGCAAATAAAGTTGAATCAACTTTTGATGCATTTATTTTCGCAGTGTTGTTGCTCGGATCCTGAGAATTAACTGTTTCTTGCAAGTCATTTTCAAAATCATTCAATGATGCTTCTGTGGTATGCTTGCAGTCAAGAAACTGCATATCTAAATCTTCTAGTCTTTGGTATGCATCTAAATATCTCTTGAGTTTCCTTGGTCCTACAACAAGCACCGGTTCGTGAGGAACTCCTCTCAGCAAATCACGGCGGAGAGCAAGAATCCTAGCCAACCCAGCGTGGTGATCGGCGTGAATATGAGAAATCCAAATGCAGCTTAAAGATCTCACAACATCGTCAGCACCACTTACACCATATCTGTTTCCAAGGGAATATATCAACCAACAGTTCAGATTCTAAGAGGAAAACAAGTGCGAGACAATAGTAATCAATTTAAGAATTTGGATGGACTTGCCTTCTTTTGAGCTGTCCTAAGGAACCTTCACCACAATCCAAGAGCAAACCTCCTTTCGAGAAAAGATTTATATATATTGAGGTCACGTTTCGATACTTTGACGGCTGGGATGAACCAGTTCCAAGAAGCACTATCTCCAAGTCATCTCTTCTTATATTTTCCAAGCAAGCAAGAGTCATACCATCTTCACACAACCATGGCTCCTCAACCATCATCTTGTTATCAGACACGGGAATTAAATCCTCTGTTGTCTGACTAGAATCTTGCCAGAGCTGACTGACGTGCTGAGCTGCTTCCACAATCTCTGGAATCTCTAACAGCAACTCATCGATAATTTCTGAGGAAGACACTTTAGTTGGAATGCAAGATCTATCCAACCCAAGATTAACATAGGGACGCAACGTAAACTGTACATCATAGAGCATTATATTTATCAATATATCAACTTGGCAAAAGCAAGAGATAAATAAAAAAAAAGGACGAGTGAAATAATAGTCCTAAGGTGACGAATTTAGGTGGGAGATAGTTTAAGCAGAAAATATCAAGTGGAATACGGTGAAAAATCTTCCAAAAAAAGTCATGATAGAAAATTAATAGAACCTCTAGTAGTAAAAGTGGATCAGCTGGAAGATGATTTAATTGCAAAAACAGAAGAAAACCTAAGAAAAGAAAGTGTTATAGAAGTATTCACAGCAAGTTTGCTTGAATTATTTATTATTTTTTAATCATACAAGGTTCATGAGAAAACCACTCTCCATTCGACGAGAACACTGTTATTATTGTTAATTTGAAAATCACATGGTTGTAACTTAAGCTTATCTTGCAGAAAAAGGCATAAATCATAATTGTAATGCTTTAAGCTGTAGCACTTAATAATTGTCATCAACAGTTTAGGGACAATCCCAAGTTTTTCAAATTCCAAAAAAAACTATTCACTTCTTTAAAAACATATAAGTAATAACACTCAAGTTGTGGATCTTCCATACCTTGAGAAGATTTTCAGCAGAAATGACATTAGAAAGTGCTGAAAAAGAATCCTGCAAAAGAAACAAATCGAACACTTCACTTAGATACATCTATGACTTAACTACCATTATCTATGAAAACAATTTCCCTTTTTAGCTCATTGTGACAAACCTCACTTGAAGCAAGAGAGACAGGTTCTGAGCAATTCTGATTTTGGCTAGACCAAAATCCCGGAGCTGGAAAGAACTGAGGACATAAGTAATTAAGTCGTGTTGCGATTCTTGCACTAGCTTTCAAAATCGGTACCTCTACATTCTTCCTGCAAACAGCACAGGAACCATATGTAATCATTAATAAAACAACTAGGAGAAACATAAAAAGAACTCTCCATAGAGACAAACACCTTACTTTTCATGTCCGGCCATGATATGCTGTGCAGAACCAAATGTCTTCATCCATTTTTGGTAATTTGAACAACTTACAACAAATTCAGGAGTTAAGTGAATTATGCATGCAACACTCTTTGACAGGTTTCCCACTTGATCACCATAAGTAGCTAGCGATTTTGCAGACAATAATGCTTCCAAGTGAGATTCTGTTGGGCAATCTACAACAAGTACAATAGGACCAGGAATAGAAGGAGCCATAACATCACTTGGATGAACCTATTGTGATAGAAAAACAGTCACAATAAGTTGTATGAATGGAAGCTCAACATCAAACAAAACAAAAACTAAATCACATGTAATTGCGACTGAAATCTATTTTGTAAATTTGCTTCCACACTGGTTGGATAGAATGTGTTACAGTTTTGACTTTTGAGGCTTACCATAACATTCTGGTGATCAGATTTCACCGAATTTCCAAGTTGCAGTTCACGGTACTTTGGCCCAGGTCTGAGACCAAGCGCCTTAGCTTTCTCCAGATCAAACTTTCCCTTAATCTCAGGCAGCTCGCAAACATATACTACAGACATATCACCAGGCTTAGCAGCTGGAATCTTTTTGACATTGGGGGAATCAACTGTCTCTCTTTGGCCTTTTGGTTGAAGGATAATGGCTGATATTCTGACCACCTCATCGTCAACAAGAACAATGGGGTTACTTTGATACTGCACAGAGGACTCATCGGTGCCAAAGACGGGTCCAAAACTTTTTGTGTGAACCATGGCAGCATTGGGAATAAAAGATCTCATGGCATCTACTAAATACTTAAGTTCTGAAGGGCCCCATATGTTGACCTGAAAATTAAAAAAAATCAAAACAAGTTATCCTTTATATTAAATACATTCGATAGAGCTGGAAAACTATGCAAAGTTAGCCTACTACTTACAGACATGCCCTCTTCTCCCATGCCAGCCAAAGTAAGCAGTAAACCTGGGAGCCCACCGGCAGTCTCCGAACAGACTCGAGAAAGAAATATGTGATCTATCTGAAGAAAGATGAAAATTAGCAAGAGTGTGAAACTAAAAACTGTTAAACACTATCATCTCGTGACAAGTCAATTATAAGTAAAACTCGCACCGGAACTAAAAAGTGTTAAAAGTTTATGATACATGATACCTTTGATAACTTAATCCTAAACTCGGTGCAAAATCTTTGTAGTCCCTGAATTGAAATATGATATAAGGTTAATAAATCTTATAAGCCAATACATTAAGTTTTTAGAGTCTATTTAGATAAACTTAAGTGTGTATATATATATATATATATATATATATATATATATATATATATATATATATATATATATATATATATATATATATATATTGTCAAAACTCATAAGCAATTGGAAGACTATATGTGAGAGCTTATGGGAACATCTTTATGACACGTCAATAAGCTATTATCAACTTCTTTCCTAAAGCTCTACAGGATAGCTTATAAAAATAGTTTATACCATATATACAACAACAACAACCAAGGATCTGTTTGGATAAACAACTTATTTGCAGCTTATAGCACAAGTAAAGTGCTTAACAAAATAAGCGCAAGATAAAATACATTTAAATTGTTTTTTATATATGTTTATGTTATAAGTTGTTTTCACTAACTATCTTGAAGAATTTATAAAAATAAATTCAAAAAAACATATAAAAAATGTAATAAGCTATTTTGATAGTCTCCCAAACAATGTCACAAAACTTATGGAAGTAGATAAGCTCAAATAAGCCAATCCAAACAGGCCCCAATTCTTATCCCTTTACTAGTTTTCTCTTTGCTTATAGAAATATAGGCTCTGTTTGGATAAACAGCTTATTTGCATCTTATAGCACAAGTGGTTATCATGATAAGCGCTTATATATAAGCTACTTTTATAGCAAAAAATATAAAATAAACTTTAATTGTTTAGATATAAGCTGTTTCCATAAGTTCTCTCAAACATTATCACAAGACTTATGCTAGTAAATAAGATAACTGAGACACAGTCATAGCTTATCCATAATAAGTTAAATGTGTATGATATAATCACTTAATTAAGTTATTTATCCAAGCAGAACTTCAATAACAAGATACAAAAACGACAAGAGACACATGTAACACATACCTCCCCAGCATTAAATATAAACCTTTGTTTGTCAAAGAAAAGCATAACAGCAGGTGATGTATCTTGAGTATCCATTCCAGTACCCAGAACCTAAACTCAAAATGAAACCATAGAAACAATTTTTAAATTTCCATAACTAGTAAAAAACAAAACAGAAAGAGAAAAACAATCGAATCAACCCAACTCGACCCAATACCTGTACATACGAAATAGTGTTGATAGGGTTGAGTTTTCGAACTTTCAGTTGAAGATTCTTCTTGGGGAAATCGGTTTTGTCAGTTCCTTCAGCTCTTCTCTTGTTGAAGCCAGGGTTACCAAAGGATTTGGTCTCTTCAACTTCCATTGGAAGGGTGGCTTTGCAGCGGAGATGAATAGGAGGGAGGTTGACGGTACGGCGGCGTTTTGAAGAAGAGGCGACGAGGGTTGAGAGGATACGGAGATGAGTGGGAGTTGGTTTATAGAAGAGAGGAAGAGAGGGGAAGAAGCGAAAGTAACGAACGTTTAAAATTTGGGCCATTTTGCCCTTTTTCTATCTCGAGGGTTTTAGCCTTTAAGCCAAAATCCTCACTTCATCTTTTTCTATTTTATTTTTGTGGGTCTTGCAAACTTTTGCCACAATAACACAAGTTAACATTACTCTATTTTTATTTATTGAAAAAAAATTAAAATATATAAACAATACATACACACTTTTATTTTTATTTTTTATTTGTTTTTAAATTTTCAATAATTTTTTTATTCTCTTATTTCAGAAAAACAAAGAAGTTAAACATTGCATATATTTAAGATATGTATGAATGGACATCGACTAGTATGCTGAAATAGTGTGGGGAGACAGACGATTCTCTATTATAATAGATTTGCATCAAGATTCAATCCTAAGCTCTTATCATTTTACATCATGATATTGCATACAACTAACTCTTTACCTTTTCAGAAAAGATCAATCAACAGACAAACATCATCAACTACTTATATGACTCGACAGTCTTCTCCAAGGCTACATCTGACAAAGGGCTATTTCAGCAATTTCTTCAGAGGATCATTCTCATAAAAGACATCTCATGGCTCAGATTAAATCGACCATATATTTATTCTTATACTTCTTCCAGTAGACATTTTCTGGCTCAGATTAAATCAATCATAGATTTATTCTGATACTTCTTCCAGTTAAAGACAAAAAGACCTCTTCTGGCTCAGATTAAATCGAGTGTTTCTTCCAGTAGACATTTTTTGGCTCAGATTAAATCAACCATAGATTTATTCTGATGCTTCTCCCAGTTAAAGACTGGCGCAGACATCTTCTGGCTCAGATTAAATCAAGCATAGATTTATTTTGATACTTCTTTCAGTAGACATTTTCTGGCTCAGATTAAATCAACCATAAATTTATTTTGATACTTCTCCAGTTTAAAGATGAACACAGACATCCTCTGGCTCAGATTAAATCGACTGTATTGGAGAAAAAGTCAACCATGGCCAACTTACAGTCAAACTTCATAATTTTTTATCCACATCAACATTTTAAACTCATATGTATCATTTGACCAAGTTTGGACCACAACTCCTCAAGAAATTGGATCAAATCTCCAAAAGGGCAAAATGGTCAAAATTAGGATTTTGATTGGGAAAGGACAATTTCTGGTTTTTGACCTAGCAAATGGTCTATTGGTTTAAGTCATGATCTCAAGAGTCCAATTGTATCATTTTAACCTAATGACATGGTTCAAAATATTGCAAGTTCATTGGATTGATAGATGAATTTTGCAGTCAACTGATCAAAAGTCAATTGTATACTAAAAAGTCAAACTTTGACTTTTTGGTCAAATTCAAGTGCTAAAGATTACAATTCATCAAAACATGTCAAAATATGAAACTTATTCATCAAGAAATCAAAAAGTCAAGATTTCATTTTTGAAAAGTCAAAATTTCTAAACTTAGAAAATTTTCTAAGTGTTGAAAATTCATGTTTTTTCATAACTTTGACCCAAATTTTCACCACGATACAAGATGATTCAAGAGAAACTTCCAACATGAAAGTTGTAGATCTCCATGAAATCTATAACTTTGATTTACACAACTCCTTACTTTGTCTTGAAAGTCCTTGAATTTCTCTACTCAAGTCAACCTGCAAGCTTGATATTTGAAAATGGTGGATGGTGATGGAGGAGCTACTGTCTTGAAATAGGGGCTTGGATCACTTTGATATAATGTATATTAAGTGTTTGGGTGGTTAAAACTCAATACGCACGAGTGGGTTTGGAGATGGCTATGTGAGGTTCAAAATTGTCAAGTTATGGCAGATTCTGAGTTGCAAAGTTTTTGGGAGTGTTTTGGAGTCTTAGCCTTCGTGTCTCAACTTGAAAATAGTGTGTCTACTTATAAGCAAGAGGTCTTAAGTCTTGTAACAACTCATATTTCAAAAACTCACATGTTTGCTTGGTTACTTGTTTGTGAAGCAAAGCTAGCAAACATGGTTTCAAGGTGTAGTACCAAGCTTGTAGGGGGCTGAGACCTTTAAACACACTTCTTCTGATTGAGTGGAGTGTGTTTATGCAGAAAAAACAAGTGCAAGGCTCAATGCAAGTTGACTTTGCATAAAGCTTGCTTTTCTAAAATGGCAATGTTGCCTTTCTCCCCAAAATGGAATTATTCTTGTACAATGCATTAAATGTTTGGCTTAAAGCTTCCAACAGCTGTGAAAACATTTAATTATAGAGTGAAAGTCAAGTTAGAAGCCTGCGAAGTGAGATTTGTACATCATGCTTGGAGATTGGATTCAAAATTCTTCACAAAATGGCTTGAAATCCAAGTGACAAAACACCAACTTCATCTCTTCGATTCTCCCTACTCAAGAATGATCTCAAGGAGTTCTTGAACATTTTGGAAAGCTTGAAATGAGCTATACAACTTATATTTGAATTTCTTTTGAAGATTCCAATTGGAACCATGTGAAAAAATTTCATGAAGTTAGGTCAAAAATCTGCCTAACTAGGGCAAAATTTCACTAAGTTATTTTTAGTTCATGAGCATGTATTCACAAAATTATATCTTGAGATCTAAGCATTTTTAGGAGAAATTGTGTGAAGCAAAGTTGTATATTTCATGGATATATACAACTTTCATGTTGGAAGTTTCCTTTGAATCATCTTGCATCATGTTGAAAATTTGGCTCAAAGTTGAGAAAAAATAAGAAATTTTCTATACTTAGAAAAATTTCTAAGTTAAGAAATTTCAAATTTTAAAAAAAAAATCTTAAATCCTTGATTTCTTGATGAAGAAGTTTCATATTTTGACATTTTTTGATGAATTATGATCTTTGTCACTTGAATTTGACCAAAAAGTCAAAGTTTGACTTTTTAGTATACAGTTGACTTTTGATCAGTTGACTGCAAAATTCATCTGTCAATCCAATGGATTTGTAATATTTTGAATCATGTTATTAGGTAAAAATGATGCAATTGAACTCTTGAAATCATGATTCAAACCAATTGATCATTTGTTAGGCCAAAAATCAGAAATTGCCTTTTCCCAGTCAAAACCCTAATTTTGACCATTTTGTCCTTTTAGAGATTTGATCAAATTTCTTGAAGAGTTGTGGTCCAAATTTGATAAAATGATACATATGAGTCTAAAATGTTGATGTGGATAAAAAATTATGAAATTTGACTGTAAATTGGTCATGGTTGACTTTTCCCCCAATACAGTTGATTTTTATGTCAACTGTTCAATTGACTGATCAAAAGTGTAATTCAAGGCTTGAAACTTGACATGAGTAATCTTAGGGGTCCATAACGATCCTTGAAAGTCATATGAAGCATTGATAATCCAAAAATCCTTGTGCAAACTCAAACTCTAATTTTGGTCATCAGTGCATGAGGAGGTGTCTTGAGGTGGTCCAACCCTAATGCAGTCTTGAGTCAAAGAGATCTTGTGAGAAAATTCTTGATAAGTGAGAGGGCAAATTTTGGGGTACAACAGGGTTTCTCAACATCAAATAGGTTCACACACATGTTCAAGATATATCATACATTAGACAAGAGAATACATGCCAAATATGATTAAATAAGTAAATTGAGCATAACGTCATGATCAAATATAATGCATATAAGTAGTAGTAGTAGCATGCAATTATAACCCAGAAAAGAGAAAACTTAGTTATTAATAATGATTATAACAAGATAAAAGGAGTAGAAGATTGGATGATCTGTCAATCCTTTTGACTTTATATCGATAAGTCTTAGACTTGACAAACACTTAAGCTTTCTTTCACTAGTATAACAATAGAGTAAAATTAAAACTAATTCTAAGACTATACACTTTCACAATGACACAAATTCCTTATTTACAACTTTCCATAATTTTCCTCATTCGTTTGGTGAAGGATGTCTCGCCCAGAGAATTCAACTTTTAGGATTTCTTTGCGCTAAAGTAAACTTCAAACCGCCTTTGATTTGCTGGTAGAACTGTGATTGCCCAACAAATTTAATTTTTCTTGCAACATAAACATTCTTTCTTGGATTTTTTGGTCGAGGATAAATTTTACGAACAATTTTCCTCTTGTTTGTAATTTAATATTTATGTCTTGGATTCGCTGGTCAAGGAGAAATTTTCCTAAATTGAACCTAGCTTTTGCCTTCAAATCCTTGGGTCACTTACTATTTTCTTTCAAGTCTTTCAACCATGAATCACTAAGGTTTTTAACATACTGTAACGTGGTCAGACTAAGAAATAATTGTCTTCTTTTGAATTCAAAGAGTCGTTTAAGAGAGTAATCAATATTAAATATTTTTCACTCATAATCTCTATTATTTCTTAATTATCTTCCTCTCTTTGCCACTTTATTTTTCTTTCTTTTTAATTTTTCCGATTTTTCTTCATAATGTAGTTTATACATTATTTTTTATTTGACCATTTTTCACAATAAAGTTTATCTTTTCTCAAACTTGTTCATATGCTAAAATAAAATGAATGATTTCTTTCTTTTTCTCACATGACCTTTGATTTACAAGATATGATTGAAGTTTCACTAATGATGCTCAATGTCCTCACTTATGTGCTACCACTTTGGATTTTGTCCATCAATTTTCTCTCATTTTCTCTCCTTTATTTATATATCTCTCTTAATCTCATTCTCTCTCTTGATTATTATTTTTGTTTTCTAATGATGAGTGAGAGTGAAATTAAGAGAAAGAAAGAGAGTTAGGAGATGGGAGGAAAGAAAAGCGAAAGTGATGATCCAAGTCTTATATACCACACTCTTCATAGTCTTTGATTTCACCTCAAATATACATTATCTCATATATAATTAACTTAGATCGACACAAGACTCTCAAAATATCATATTTAATAACTACTTAGACTAATTACAAAGGCCATGAAAAATATAACACATAAATAACAGTGTTAGCTTCATTAGGAGGTGTGCAAAATAACTGATTTACCACATACATTTAAAAAAATAGAGGACCGGTTTTAAAAGTCTAAATTATTTTGATGACAAACTGATCCATAACC